ACGCCAGTTTTTTTGCTTCAATTGAGTTTCGTCTATTAAATGGAAACAATGTTTCTTGCTTAGCTTGTCCTCAATTGAGTAAATTTTTGAACCGACTCTAATACTTTTTTTCTTTTTTACAGATTCTAAAACTCCAAAACAAATGAGCGATATCACATGGAATGTTTCAATCAATGAAATTAGGCAGCTGAAGGAAGGTTTGACCTCCATATTTAATGAAACCTTCTGTAAAAGTTTGGTTGAGCTTTCAGAGGTAAGGATTCCAATTGAAGATTTCATTAATATAAGGCTTTGTTTTCCCCTTAACCGGAGTAAAAACTCATGATATAGAATAATTTTTTGTGATCTGGTGCAATATTAAATATTTAAGTAATTACATGACTCAGAACTTCAGTAGGGAATGTGTTGCTACCTTAATTTTACAAGTCATGAAAATAATTTCTCCTTATCAACCGCACCCAAGAGAATACTAAACTCGATGTTTCTTTTTTAGTCATTGAAGCATACAGTCGTAACTTGTTGTAACGTTCCTCAAAGTAACATCGGGCCCCCTCATTTTCTCTAGTCCCTGCTGCCCATTTCTCGTTAAAGTGTTGTTCGAAATAACGTCCGTCTCTCTTTTTCCCCTCCAAAAACGTTACAGCAAGATTAGACAGTATAAAAATGATCCATTTATTTTAAAACCATAGTAATTCGCTAGAGCTTCATGTTTCTAATTTCTCCTATTTTGTTTACAGGAAGAAACTTCTACAAATAAAGGTTTCATTGAGGCTTTGCTGAGGAGGTTGAAAAAACTTCTTCAGTTTGTTCCCGAAAAACCTGGATCTTTCATTACAAACGGCACTGCTGACAAATCATTAACTCATTAACCAATTGTTAAAAATGGTGATTAAGCACCGAAAGTGAAAATTAAGTGAGATTAGTCAAATTATTTTCTTACGGTTTTGTATCTAATTATCAGAAAAGGAGCTGTCTAGGAACAAATTTATCATTAACATTTTAAAGTTTCAAAGAACTTGTAAAGAATTTTTACTCTCCTTCAAATAGCTCATTAAAATTTTTTTGTGTCTATCAAAAAAAATCAAATTTCAAATTGAAGCCCTTGCAAAATGAATGGTTATCTGTACATTCCGTGTAATAGTTTTTTCATGAAATATTTTTGTACCTTTCTAAGCCATACTTTCTGTAATAGTTTTCTGATTTACGATTACACTGAAATTGATTTTCCTTGTATGTAGAAAATCGTGATTGTTTTGAAATGTGAACATAAAAGATACCCACGTCACAAATTCAAACATCTTAAGAAAAAATCTCCTGGTGAAACAATATTTCTCATTCAAGCATTTTGAAAATAGTAAGGAAATGCTTTGAAGGTTTTGATCCCAGAGAAACAACCTAACTGGGGAATGATAATAATTGGCTGCATAAAATGTGTACAATTCATCTGCTAAAAGTATTCTACGTGAGAGAATATTAGAATTCATCCAACAATACCGCATTGACTTATTTTCCTCAAATTACCATAGTAGGATTGTCTACCATGGCTTTGGCTTTTAGCTGCACAACATTGGATTTTTTTAAAAATTTTATAAAATAACAACCTGATTTTCAAAATGTGTAACTGACTGAATTAGTAGGATTTTGATAAAGAGTCATTCTCTTTTTTTAAAGCTGAAAAACTTCTGAAGTCAACTACATATTATTAATTAATGGTAATATGCAACAGTTACACTAGTTTTTAATTGTATCAAAATGGTTTAAAACAAGTATGTTTTTGGCCAAAATAGAATCGTAATTTTCTGTATAAATTTCTGCCTGATCACATATTGTCTGATTTTTTACATTAAAGTCAATGTGAAAGGAAAAGAGACTTTATCATTTTCACTCTAGTTTTCATGCCTAGATATCTTATTAAGTGAATGCCACCGACTCATCCCAAGAGCAAACGTTTTTTTATTAGCTGTCTTTGCTGACTTTAAGATTACATCACCTGATTTTCAAGCAACTTAAGCCAGTAAGATTTGATCCTTGTTAAATCAAGCAGTATTTACCCAATAATGTTATTGAAACTAAGAAAAATATTCAGCGATTCACTGAATTAGAGAGGCTGCTGAATCGCCAGATAGCCAAAATTGGCACATCAATCACTTATTCACTGTGGTCTTTCGGCAGCATGAATAACTTCCGGTTTCTGACCAAGCTCACTAGTGATAGTTTGAAGAGATTGCAAAATCAGTTTATGGGCATGATCAATTTGTTCAGCCACTCAAACACCCTTTTTCTACTTCAGTATATCACCGAGGGGTAAACATACTCAATTATACTAACATCTGTGACCCGATCCTCAGGGTCTTAATCATTCTTATTCGTAGACCATATCGAAGCTGCGAGGAAGCAAAGAACACATTGTAAGTTTTGGTACCGAATATGTTTGCGCCTTTAATATGATACAAAGGGATGGTATCCATAACATAACATTAAATTCTTTGATACAAATTAACAGATTAAATATAAAAGATTAATGCAAAAGCCTTACAGCTATTTAGAACATGGCTCAAAAAATATGTTTTTATCACATTATTTCACACTTGAAATCATTATCATTATTATCAATATTAACTTGGGTTGTGTGCTTGTATTCTTTTTCACATAGCACAAAACTTATGATTACTTAAAATGATAATAGTGACTGTCTGAACAATAATTTTTTTTATCAATGAAGCTGATAGTTTGATAAAATACAAAATTAAGTAAGATTATTGAAAATTGAAGAAGAAAAAAATAAAAGAGAAGACAGCATTGATTACCAAAAAGTGACATCACTGGAAATTAGAATGGGTTTTAGGAGAAATGCACTTCTGGGTATACTTAAGACAAACTTTTTGTGTTAGGACCTCCTCTATCTAATACATTTGGTAAATTTCTGGCTAATGAGACTGATTTTTTAGGCGCCACTCTTTCATAAATTGTGTAGATTATTTTCAAATTACTATACAGTGATACCTCAATTATTCGGCCTTCATTTATCTGTTGCTCAAGTTAGCGGGTGTGGTAATGTGGCACCGCTGAAACGCCAATATTTGTCTCTCGAAGAGATATTTGCCAACTACGAGGCTAGCAAGTCGATGATGACAGATATAGAGTTTCAGGCAGATAACTTTAGTTGTCATGCCAAACATATCCAGTGTGTATTTTGTGTGTTCATAAGCATAATTGATTATCTGGTGCGGGCTTTACCACAATTCATTGGATGATCGAGGTAATACTGTAACTAAAAAATTAGTTGAAAAGTTCAGCACACTTTATGAAAGGGGAAAGCTGTGTTTTATAAAATAATTCATGCTGATTTCAAAGGTATATTAATAATGCCATGAAACTAAATAATTTGTTTATTAACATTAAATGACACTGCTTTATAAGAGTGTTGATTTAAGGAACAATAATTCTGGATGTTATGAATATTTTTAAATAAATCCTGTGAACCCTATAGGACTCAGTGCTTGCCCTGCCAAAACGAGACAGAAAAAAAATGTCTAATTGTTTCTAATTTATGTTAGTCTTTAATTCAAGATAAAATAAGCATCAGAGCCTCAATCTAAATATATACGTAAGTTGAAAAATTGAGTTTTCTTCGAGAATTTCGTATGATTCCAGCACAAAATTAAAAAATTATTTGGTAAAAAATGTCTCAACTTTTAAAAACGAAGCCTTCAAGCCTGTGTGTATTCATGCTATATGTGAGTTCATTTTATAAAGACCCCTGTCATTTCTCTTGTTCCATATTCAGTAAGCAGTAGTAATCCTCTATTTTCAATTAAGCTTGAGGAGGGGGTCCTGACACTACAAACATTTTTGAATAACTCTTCTGAGGAAGCTTAATAGCATCCCGGTGTAAATCATTATAAGTCATATACGTTTACATTTTGTAGTCTTAAGAGTTTGATTCTCCAGCACTTGCATTGATGTTAGTTATCTTAGAATACAACAGCTAACAATACTGAAGAGACGGCTTCTTCAATTCAAAAGTTAAATTCTAGATGATGATGAATTTTCCCTATAATTTCAGATTAAACAGACGAGAGATGGATCTAAACCATTGCCATCAATTTCTGACACCTACAGAAAAACGCCTCAACTAATGAAAACTAAAATTTTGCTTTTAGCTTGTGCAAATTTAATTATAAAAGTAAAAAAAAATGAGACTCTACACCAGATAGGAAAATGATCTTATCACAGGGCTTGTTATCACATCAAGTTTTTTTTCTTTCTTTTTTTGGAAGGGGGGAATAAGGCGGGTATCATTGACTGATTTTGAATAGAGGGCAAGCATCTAAGAGATATCATCCGTTAAGAGATGAAGGAGATAAGGGAAAATAAAAACCATCAGAACTAACAATCTGACTTGAGGGCTTGGGGGAACAAAATACTCCGAGTCTACTTTTCATCAATGATTAGGTTAAAGTTGAACGTTTCTCTGAAATTCGATTAGAGAGTGGAGGGGAAGGATTGCATGTGGGAAAAAATATTGAATTTTTAGGAACAAAACTCTAATTATGTCCAAAATGACGCATTCCACCATATTTTGTGTGCGATGAAATTCATTTTATAAGTCTGAAAAAAAATGTTCAAAAATACATGGCACAGGGTATTTTTCATTTGAAAAAATGTAGCCCCAAGGAACAGAACATCAAAAACCATTGATAAGGAAACACTTCTCTTGAAGGTGCAGATATACACCCATTTGAAGAGGGAGAGAAAATATTTGATAAACTTTGGAGCTAACATGATTTTTAATCTACCAAAAACTTGAAGTTTGATACGGTTGTGCAAGCAGAATTTTATTCCATTGCACTGTGTAGAAAAAAACTTAATTCTAAAGAGTTGTCCCTTTTAAATGGCATTTAGCGAAAGACAAAGGGAAGTTAGAAATCTTAAACATTAAATAATCAACGGGCACGGTAATATTGTTCAAATATTATACAGTTTCAGCAACATACAAACTTAAAGTAAAGCTATGATACAAAAAGAATACAAACATAGTTACACTTTGGTTATAAAAATAAAGAATTAGTTCATAACTTCACCTGTCTTCGCGGTCAAGAGGAGGAGGCATGGTGGGTAATTGCTGAGAGTCACCCTGAGTAAGATAACCAGCTGTGGTTGGAACACCTGAGTGAATGTAAAGACAAGACAAGCATTAAAAAAACAATGGGACTGAGTAAAACAAGTTTCGTAATAACGGTACTCTTATTTGTTGGACTTTTATTCGATTATTAACAGCGTAAAAAGTTGTTTAACTTCAGTCATAATCATAAAAACATACATATGTAATTTTTCAAAAGTTTTAGTACCTGTTCAAAAGAAAGTAAATGTACATTTTCATGAAGATGATAATACTCTAAAGTATCTTTTTTGCGACTTTATAAAATTAGAGGCTTTAAAAACCTTGAATAACAAATTAACAACTAAATTGTAAAACCCAACATTTCACAGCAAGTTTTGACATTCCAGACAGTTACAAGGTGCACTGATAGGGAGAAAAAAAAGACGAAAAAGAAAAAAATCAAAATTTGGGCTAAACTACGATACCTCTGAATGCCTTGAAATTCTTAATTACTACGGAGATCTGGAAAAATAAAGCCTTTTCTTTGAAATTCAACTACTCAGTAGGAATTTTGCAAGGCCTTTTCACTACGACGGCTAAGTCTGCCAAGACTATCCGGTGAAGAAATTTGAAAACGTTACTTACCACTTGTTAGATAGTTGTTGGAAGGTGCGTTTGTGATGAAAAGGTCGTGGTTCTGATCCCTATATGAGGCCCAGACTGGGGATCGATCAAGTAATGAAATGACCGTATTTCCATGCGCTAAACTCAGCATCATTGTTTTTAAGGCTTTGACTATGAGGGCTTTGGTTTGCGCAGCGTTGTCACAGCCATCTAAGCGTCCTCCAAGCAGTTCAAGGAGAAATGGGATCAACTGGACATCCAAGGCCTGGGAAAACAAGAAAATTCTTCTCATTATTTCACAATATATGATAGAGGGAATGAGGAAGATTCAAATTGGTCTGTCATGCTTTAGACTTCAGTAGATATGAAGAGAAAAGAAAAAACTAAAATTTTTTGAGCAATAACGATCAACAGTTCTGAACTTTGGGGAGGAGTAAAAGCCTTACAGAGCAAAGTTTAATCGATTGATGAAAAAATGGGACACATACTTTGTGATTTCGGCAAGCTCGATTGGAATGGATAGATACTGATTTTTCTTTTTCACATAGAGATGTCTATGTAAAGAATGAGCGTATGAAGTAAAAGTTCAGCTAACATAAACGACCATTTTTATGGTGGGCGAAATTGAGATATCAATCACATACAGATATAAGAACCACGTTCAGAGAGATCTCTGGCCCTCTGCGCGATTCTTTTTCCTAATGAAATGAGGAGAGAACATGTTGTGTAGTGTTTTAATTCATACCTTGTATAGTGGCCCATTTCAAAACCAAAATAAATCATTAAAAAAATCTGAAAAAAAGTCAAAATTATTCAAACACAAAATATTGTTTGATCGGTCAAAATGAATGATGAGGTTTGAGTTTCGGTAATTATAGCTTTCATTCATTCAATCATTCAAGATTCATATCAATTGGGGTAGTTCAGTACCTGTTTAACAAGGGTATCCTTTTTAGCAGAGAATATTCGACTTAGCGTCTCGCAGGAGATATTGATTAGTTCACTGTAAGAGGACATTGCTTTTTTCATGGGTCCAAGACAGTCTGTTTGTGATAAGGTCCAGACGCAAACCTGAAATGAATTATTCACAAAATCTCAATATACAGACAAATAAAGAGGACTTGAAATTCTAACGACAGAAAACCATCCTTTATTTGGGCAACAATATGTAGCAATCAGCTAGTTACAAGAAACTAAGATTGATCGCTAGAGGCTTACGAATAATTTGGAATAAATTATCTGAAGTAATTTTGAATATTGTAACAATTAAATCCATTGTCATGTAACTTTAGTTGCTGAAGGATAACTTGGTAGTGGTAGATAATAACTTTTTCAATGACTCACCAATAATTTAGTCTGAATTTTCGTTAAGCTTTACTAAATAGAGATTCTGAGATTTGCTTCCATCAATAGATACTTAAATTCATCGGAGTTTCTTTTTGTAACTTTCATTATGATTTTTGGTACTTTTAGCTTTGAATTTTCTTAAAAATGGTCTAGACTGCGCATTATTCAACCATCTTGCTACTCACCGTATTCAGGTCATATTTTTAGGATTTTTTGTTTTGTTTCGTTTTTCACTTCAACAGATTTGTGGTGCGACCTACTTTTCTAGAAATTTTATTCTCCTTGAGGGCAGTGAAAGGAGTAAGAATTCACTCACAAAAGCAAAGAAATCAAAATGTTTCAAGAAAACGAAACACGAAGTTCAAAAAATAAAAGAACTAACCTCGCTTAAAGCAAGTTGGTGCAAAATCCTGATGACAGACTTTGGAACTGAGACGGACTTTGTTGAATTCAAATGAAGACATATTCTTGGGATATGTCCCAGCGCTGGTACCTGGTCTGCCAAGTTAGGTTGAGCTTGCAGCAAATTTACCACAGCGGTTGTCATCACATTTAACATTTCAAACTGTAATTTAAGAGCAAATGAAATGAGGTTTGAATTTTGCTTAAATCAATAACTTACTCTTTCAAACAAGTTAAATTTAAGATAGGAAAGTCTTGCATATTTTATCTTGAAAATTGTATAAGATTTAATTTACTTTCACCTAAGAGATCTTTTTGATAAATTTATGAGACCGCAAAGGGTTTTCTAAATGAGAGCCAGATGAATATGAATGGAATCCAACCATCCCCATCTCTAACTACTCATGATTTTCAAAACTTACAATGCACACAATCTTATTTACTTGGAATTTGCAGTTCTAAATGACTCTTACAAAAATGCTACCAATGTAAGTACCAAAAACACGAATTTAGTTGCTACTCAGGTTATTTGTGGCTAGCACTGATAAGGGGCACTCTTATTTTTGGCAAGCATTTTTTTAAGCAAATGCAATTGGACAAAAGAAACTGGAATCAGGCTAACTAGATCAGACATTGCCTAATTTGCTCTAATAATTTACTTTTAAACAAAAAATGAAGAAACTCTGTAACTTGGAATTTTGTGTGTATGTTCTTCAAAATCTGGGGTGAATTCACAGTGAGTTAGAAGGCGCTAAGTAGTTTATACCCTTGTTATAGAAAAACATGAGAGAAAATTAGGCACTGTGAAATACAGTTGGGCTGATTTCAGTTAAGAACAAATGTTAGTGAGTAAATTAATTGGTCTTAATTGAGACGTTCTTGGTGTTTTCCATGGTTTCTCCACGGGAAGAAATGTCTGTTTTTCTGGTTGCTAAGAGCCATGCACTTTTGCCTTGTGTACTTCATGCATGATGCATATGCATAAAATGATTTGGATAAGTTACGCGAGGAAAACAAGTGTACATCATAAGAATGAAAATAGTTAGAGTAAATATGAGCAAGAAAAAAGGTTTAACTTTTTTTGATAAAAGACTAAAATTGTAATAATCCAAAATAACTTACGTTGACTTCATCTTTTGTCATCAGGGATAGGCAGTTGTCCAATAATTCTGTCAGAAACTCTTTAGGTTTGCGCAGATTCCAACCGGGATTGGCATTGAATAACCTCAGGTAGACACCACCAACTACGATTTCATTAGAATTGACAGCGTCTTTTAGTAGAGGACCTGGATCAGGAATCTTGTGCGCTCCCATTGGATTCATTCTTTGCTTGGTGTAATGCCTGAAATTTTCAAATTTTATTTTGAGTGCCCTCCATTTTGAAGAGTAGGTACATCATCTCTTTCATTCTTATTCATATTTTAGGAGCAGTTAAAGTTGGAAATACATAAATGGTATTTGTATTTGATTGACCGAAGCTGAGCTCAATCAAGGAGAGAAGAATGAATAAGTTTTTTATCCACAGATAAATATACATTGGTATTCACTGATGAAGTAATCTTAAACATTATCTGTTAGATCAAGCAGGAAATTTGAATTTGCTTAGATTCGTTGTGCAATTTTGAAGTTTTTTCCTGTTCATGTCACTAGGTTTGCTGATGCAATCAATTTTGTTGACTCGGAGGAACTGAGAATATTAGAATGCAATCGTTTAAACTCAGTTTTGCGACACATTCCCTTGGATTACATATAAACATTGTTGTTTTATTAGATAAACACAGAGTTCTATTAAAAGAATGAACACTTACTGTTTTGCCAACTGACTGACGGTGCCAAACACGTGTTTCCGTGAATTTGCATCCCACACAAGTTCAGGATTTTCCTGATTACTTTCCAGTAACTGAATACAAGAGGGAGGGGCATCACGCATTGCATCACAAATAGCAGCTGGTAAAAATTGACCTAGAGTCAGCCTGATTCTTGGGCCAGATAATTTATCGCTGCAAAGTCTTCCAAATAGCTCCGCAACTTTAATTCGGATGTTCACATCATTTGAATTGCACAATATATTCAGCAAATAAAGGTAGCCCCCTAAAAAAGAATCATTTGATTAGACACAGAAGTAAATCAGCGGTGGGATTATTGAGTTGTTATTGAAGTACCAAGGAATAGCATTGTTAAAATAGAGATTTATCGATAGTGATTCAAAAAGTGACTTAAAATTGAGTATTTCAGTAATTAAACATAAACGGTAGTTTTTGCGCACAATGAGATGGTTAGGTATCAATCTAGCTTCATTTTTGTGGCATTTCTAATCTGTTACTTTTTTTTCTATCCTCGCATCAGCTATTGTGGTACCACTGTTCAATTTTCCTTGATCAAAGTTTCTAAGAAAATTTTTTTAATCCAATCACTTGCAGTTAATCAAACATTGCTCCTCTCCTTCTAAACCCAACAATGATCGGCAATTGCTACAAACATTAAATAAGGGTTGAGATCGTCAAATAAATGGAAATGTAAATTTATACTGTACTCCATAAACAAGCAATTTTTTTTTTCTTGAATTTTCTCGTTGAAAGTTAATTTTCTTTTTTGTTAAAGTTATAAAAAAAGACAATACCCTTACCTTTTGAAAGGAAAGTTTTCACAATATTTGAGTTTGTTGCCAGTGCATACATTATTTCTACTGAGGTTGAGTATTGGTCAGGTAAAGAGTAAAGAGCAAGCAGGAGATAGACTAGGATATCACTGCCGGAAATATCATTCACGCATTCATGATTGCGCGTTAAGGTGCTGATCACAGTAAGTGCGCTATCTTGTAGCAGACGATAGTTATCCATGTAAAGCAGAGAGAACAATAGATCAAAGTGTCCAATGCATTGAATTTCAAGACCTGTTGAAAGAGAAAAGACGTCAGTTGAACTATTAGAAATAAAATGAAAACCTACTCCTTCCTTTCAAGCTGGTGTTGAAGTATCCGAAGCTCATTTACTTACTACAAAATTGACCAAGTTTTGAATGACCAAGATAACTGATAAGTTTCTAAAATATTGGAGGAAATAACCAGGTAGAATTCACTACATTTTAAATTAAGATTTAGAAAGAAGAAAAGGCCTTCTTGACTCTAATCTAACCAAATGAATGAAGAGATAAAAATTATGGACAAGAAAAGAACATACCAGGATTGTTTAGTATAATGTTGTTGAGTGCATGGAGAGCCATGCAGACGTTTGTCAGCTGTTGGGTATCCGCTGGTTGATGGCTTTTAGGAATGTTTGCTTTGATATAAGTCAGTAAGTCAAGGATGAACTTCTTTGGATCCTGAATAACGAAAGTTGGACGGTTGTTGTAAACTCGGATGAAAATATTGCCAATGATGAGCTCATTGGCATGACTAGAATACCCAAGTTCAACTTTCTGTAGCGTTTCTTCTCCTCGGATGCTCATCCTCTGTTCCAGGAAGTCGTTCAGCTCTGCCCGAGTTGTGTTGTTCCAGACTAGGTAAGGAGTTTCGCTGTTGCTTGTCAGAAGTTTCAAGAGCTGGAACAAATAACACCCGATTTTATTACTCATATATCAAAAAGCTATTTGTATCTGAGATCGAAAATGAAAATTTCATGATCTTAATTAATTAATTATTTACAGAGATCTATGACACAAAAGATTTGCAGAATTAGGTATGATTAAAAACAAGTTTGAAACATCATTTGATAATAATTACACAAGTGTCAGGCCTTTGGTGCACATAAAACAATCCTCAATGGAAAAGTAAAAATATTTCATCATCCTGATCAGGAAAATACAATTTTTTTGCACCAAGCCTGCTAAGATCCGAAAAAAAATGTTTCAAATTTCATCATACGAAAAAAAACTAGAAGATATTAAAGCCCTACTACTTTGTTCAAAATTTCAATTGAAACATGAGAAAATAGTATGGAAAAGTGAATATTTGTATACTGAATGGTCTCTTTTAAAACAGATGGACTTGAAAAAAAAGGTAAAAAGTAAGTTTCTCACCTCTTCTGGTTCATCGTCCCGGAATTTTTGAGCAAGGAAAGGAGTTAGCAAGCATGAAAGAACTCCCTGGACCTGTGGATTTTCTGGAGATGCTAGCTGACCAGACAAATAACCTCCTAACCTTGCAAGAGCTTTGACAGATGTTTTTGCCAGTTTGTTCCAAACTTCCTAAAATACAAGAAAAAATATGGATTTTAGATCTTGATTATTCGAAATATAGAGGATATACAAATTATTTTAGAGGTGTCCTCAGTCAAAACTGTAAATTCAGCCTTCCTGAATTTTTTTGAGAAGTATTACAGCTTTAAAAGACGTTTTCGCCGGTTGGATCCAGACTTATTAAAATACAGGAAAGAACTATCCAGATCTTGATAGTTTGAATTTTAAAGGATAAAAATTATTTTAAAAGTATTTTTGGTGAGAAACGCAGTTTCATTCCTTCTCAATTTTTATTTCAAAAATACAACAAGGAATGAATAATAATTTTTTGGTCAGAAATGTAGTTTCAATCTCTCTCGATTTTTTTTTCACAAATACGACAAAGAATTAATAATAATTAATTTAAAATTATATCTTCAATCAACTGTTATGCGGTGCTGAAAAAAATAATTAGAAGTACAAATATTAAGAGCATACTTGATTATTGGCTTCTTCCGATCTTTCTACTCCGCATTCTTCAAGAGTGAAATCATAATTGAACAAAAAGCTGATCAGATGCCATAGAATCTTCGTCTTCAGAAGCTGAGATTGGAGCCTAGCATCTCCTGCGAAAGACCCAATGCAGTCAACCACTTCGCTGCATAGTTTTGGCAAATTCTGAAAATAAAGAAATGATTCAAAAGATTCAAAATAACAATAAATCTGAGAGAGTCTGCTTATAATTTCTGACAGCAGTTTTGGAGTTGAAACTATTCAGAACTGAATGAACATGGAGGAGGAGACATGTCGCATCATTTTTGATCGGGCTCCAGCTTACATAAGTCTGGGCATGAACAGACGCATAAAGGAAAATGAGTCAAAATTTTCGGTTACATTATATTCACGCTTTGCTAAGATTCTTCATTCTTGACTTAAAACATCGCAAAACTTTTGCTCATGATGAAGTTTGACCCCCCAGCTGCGTCTCCGCAAAATTTTCAGGGAGCTAAAACTTTGAAAAAAGATGAGATGTGATCTAATGATTGAGTGTGTCAAGTCTCAAAGGCGTTCACTACGAGCAAGATTGGACACATTTCGAAGGTACCCCCTTTAAATTCAACTTGAAATTAGAGACAAAATAGAAAGGTAAAGACAAAAAAAAAACAATTCTACTTCTTTGAGGGAAGATCAATTTCTCATTTCTTTATTAGAAAAAAGTGGGGCAGAATTCTTGGTATGTTTTAAACTTGGTTTCTCATGAAAGTAAGATCCTTTAACAGGAATGTTATTCATATAAAAAAAAATATCCAGTTACCTTGAAAGTTAGCACTCTCACTAGGTCGGAGATGAGCTGTGGCATTTTTATGAATGATTCTCGGCATGCGGTAAACTGAGCTGCAACGCTGAAACAGCGTGTGCAATGCAAACAAACATTGACTGCCATGTCGGTTGGTTTTGAAGATTGACTTAAGACTGATGCACAGCGTGAGAATGCATCCAATAAGTCCTGGAAAAATAAATGTTAAACATTAGATTTTAGAATGTTTAGAGGTAACAATTTTTATACGGTGTGACTAGAGGTATTTTACTAGTTTCCGGTAAGCTGAATGATTCTATTAGAAAGCAATAGCGACAAGAAGGCCCTTACAGATAGAAAAATCAGAGTTTTTGGAGCCAGCAAAAATTAGCTATGCATATTAGTGTTATGGTCCAAGCAACTCAATGGACAGCCAAATAAACGCAGAGCTTGCGCAAATCTGAAACAGTCAGCGCCAACCGTTTCTAACAAGAACAGCTTTAGAGAAGTGTATTTATATTTTGGAACAAGGTGTACCAATTGCTTGCCGACAAAGATTTTTTTGAATTTTCCTAGATGTCACATGTTAAAGCAAATAATCAAAGAGATGTCAGACTTTTTGCAGGCTCAAGTGGCAAAAAGGGTAATTATAGTAATTTCCATTGATGGGTGGTGGAAAGAGCAAATCGCACATCAAAATCAACTGGAAGCCTTTTATGCACTTTATTTAAAAATGAAATAAAAACTTTTTAAAACCAGAGACTCACATTGAATCCATGTTCCCTGTTCAATTCTTCTGCATTGAGAGCCGAGCAATTTACAGTATGGTAGGCAAGTTCACTGGCAGCAGTGAGTATCATTGTGGATTTCGAGAATAACTGAACATCAGCCGTTTCTAATCGAATTGTTTTGATCAGTTGTTTATAACCAGCATATTTGTATGGTTGTAGCTCTGTAAAATCATAAGAGACCAATGATGTACAAAATATCTTGAAGAGTGATCTCCAACTTTGTTTCCTCCTTGTTGACCCTATAAATACTGTTGGGTTTCTATTTTTGTTGCTTTGGAGACTTTCCCAGAAGGACCTCGCATACTCCTTGTGGAGATGTGTACCACAATCGAATTTTAATTTTTTTATTGTTTAAAATTCGTCTATGGGTGCTCATTTACAGTCATCTCTGCGCAAACTTTCTAAGAGGCACTGTTTTTGCACAATCTGCAAAAAGAGGTCCCTCATTTCAGCACGTAGAGTAAGGTTTGGGTCGGTCCGGTGAGTGTAAATCACTTAAACAGGAAAACTGATCAGCATCCGAGCGACAGTCTTATCTCGGATTCCGCACACCTTTTCTTTTCACCGTCCAAATCAGTTTCTTTCTCTCTCTCCTACTCGATTGTCCTTACCAGACAGACATGTACTGCCTTTTGATTTTAGCCAGCCTGTTGTCCTTACCAGACAGACATGTACTGCCTTTTGATTTTAGCCAGCCTGTCCTGGAAATTACCGAAACTCCAATAGCGTACTGTGCAAAAACGGTGGCTCGAAGAAAGTTGGCGCAAAGGTCACTTTTGATCAGCATCCATAGACGAATTTAAAACAATAAGAAAATTGAAAATCGATTGTGGTACACATCCTAATGAAGAGTGTGCAGAGTCCTTTGCTACTTACTGTTCTCATATTTTTCAAAACCAGAACAACTAAAAATCGTATTTTTCTCTGAGAATAGAATGCATTTTTACATCGAGGTAGATGAGATTGTTTACATAAAAGGGTTTTGTCTAAAAAGAAACTGCACCACAGTTTCTTTTGTGAGGAAAACGCAGCAAATTACAGATTGAATATTGTTGATCACTGGATGGAACATAAAATAAATTCCGATCTGCAAAAAGAAGTAAAAAGTAAAGAGAAGGTATATAAAATGCATTCTTTTGATATTTTGACAAAAAATAAGAATACTCGAATTGTTTTGATGTAAAGAGAAAAGATGATAAAAAATGAGCATTATACTGAAGATGCAATAACTTAATCTGATGTTCTTACCTGAGGAATATCGGCCGAATAAAATGCTTTGAGTCTGGAGAATAAGGACAATATTATTAGGGTTAGGACCATTGTCTAACCATGAGTTACGACTACAGAGAAAATCATAAGCTTTGTTAGCCAGAACAAACTTTTCCTGTAGGGAAACAAAGAAGAAAATTAGTCGAGAAAAGAAACAAATAAGGCATTGATGTAGAGAGGAATTACTAAATGGAGTAATCAAGAGAACAAACGATATTTACGGTGTATGTAGCTCTTTCATTAAAGTTTTAATGCACAGATGAGCATAAAAAGTAGAGTCACAATAATAAAATACCACATCTTGAACAAATGGTCACAACGCTGATCCAAAATCTGACCACCGCCGCCTCTCGCGGCTTTCTGACTAGTCCTGTCTCTCTCCGATTCTTGCATGGCCTTGCGGCAGAAAACTCAGCTGCCGCTACATGACTGAGGACTGACGTTACAAAATAAGAGCTCTGTGTACAATGAGAGAATTAAGTTTGTGGAAGCTGGGGAGAATTGAAACATTTTAAAGGACTGAAAGAAAAAATTACCCTTCCGCCAGGATTTTTGTCAGGATGATAAAGCTGGGCCAGTTTGTAATAGGCTTTACGAATGGTTGGTTCTGGATGATGCTCTCCTCTTTTCAACCCAAGTGCTTCATACGCATCATCGACAGACATTTCGGGTGGTTTCTTTTCTACCTCTGCTTTCCATGCTTCCAACACGTCTTTGAGCAGTTGCACCTAAAGGATAAAAGAGACAATATGACAAGAGATTGAGTACTAATGAGCTAAAATATGTCACAATATGAAATAACAGCAAAAATATCATTATGTTTGAAATATTCTTTGAATGGGACAAGGGTAATTTTTCGCCAATTTTTTTTTTTTTTTGATGAGGGGAAAAATTTGCTACAGTACCCCCATCATGAGGGTCGCCAAAACGCCCCCCATGAAAGGGGCCCACCGAATACCGGAACGGCATCGGCCATCAGCTGGTGAAGAGCCGCAGAAGCGACGCCGAAGCAACCCCTAACCGACCCAACCGCTGTGAGATGGAAAAACCCGGTTATGTGGGGGTAGAGGACGCCGCCTTGTTCTGTACCCACTAAACGACCCCTCCAGGTCACAGACACAGAAAAAGATTTTGAAAAAAGGTACAAAAAATTTGAATTGAAGTTGACATGAAGTAACAAATGCATTACTCTTATCTTCATTTCTTATTACTGGTTTTAAATTTCTGCTGTATAAGCCAAGTTTCAAGATAAGTGAACTGCCGCTACTTTATGCATAAAAACTACGATGATGTGCATTTTGATGCAGACAGAGATCTTGTATCAAGAGCTTCTTGTACAAATAAGAGATTTAAATGGAATTAGTCAAACTATGCTGATCTTACAAAAGTTGAACTTCCAAAAGTTGCGATAGGATCTCAGTTTGACTCACACAAACAATGAAATTATTTAAACAAAATATGAGCAAAAAGCTAAGAGACTGCACTTACAGGATGCTTGATGGGCCAATCAGGAAAGCGAAGCGAGTCACATAAATGACGCAGGTAGAATATGTTGCAGAACAGCTCATTATCCAACTGAGGATACCTCACTGCAGGAATGCCACAATAGTGATACATAGCTCGGTTGTTTCCTTTCAAGCGTGGACTAAAGTCAGCAATATGAAGAGCAATTTTCTCTATTAATAACCGTCTGGAATGGAAAAAATAATCAAATCATTGACAGGGGAAGGCTCAACTGAAAGTAATTGAACTGACTGAAAGGATGGCAAGAGGCAACAAATCTTTAGTATTAAACATGTTTGAAATCTCTCTATAAGTTACTTGCTAATGTCTAAAAACAAATACCTTAATTTTGATGTTACATTTCACATCATACTTCATTTTTTAAACAGCAAGCTAATCGACGTAATTTCTTGAAAACTCTCAAGATTATTACTCTCAAGGATTCATTCTATGGAAAATTTTGGCTATAAAAGTGGTTCATTTATATTTTTAAGAAATAAAATTTAATTGGAAATTTTGAAATGTGTTTTCAGGGTTTAGCTTTGTAAAATACACAAGTGTTTTGTTTAAAAACGTATACTTAAATTGACACATTTTCGAGGGAGGGGGAGATGCTTATTGAACAGGATCAAGTAGTGTAAGGAAAAGAATGGATCACAAAACTTAAAGAATACCCACTATTGGAAGAGAAAACAAAAATCTCATAAGATTTCAGTGACTAATTTTTGACTTGGAATAACATTATGAAATTTTTGTCACATCAACCTCTCTTCCTCTTGATCTTGCACTTGCTGTTCAGAGATGTACGATTTAAAATCATAGAAACACTGGTATAAATTGATCTTTAAATCATATGCCAATTTCTTTACACTGGGTAAGAGAAACTCACTACAGAGAAAATAATTGTTTACCTCATTTCTGCATTCCAAATGGCCTCAGGTGTGTCGAATTCTCCTAAAAATATTTGAGCAAACTTTGCAGCACCATGATTCTCAAGGTAGTAAACCATTGCTTCTGGTAGAAGAGGCCCAAGGACACTCCTTTGCATCAGCTCCGAAGATGGCGCCTATTGAGGGGTAGCAGAAAATTAAAATCAACGCAAAATTTGCAACTGATAAAGTTTCGATAAAACCATAGATTGCTTTTAAAAATTTTGGAAGAAATACTTACTGACGCAAAGAATTTCAACAAATACTGGGATAAATCTTTTGGCTTCCTTCTGCTGTCAATAGTGCTTGATATCATCAGAATTCTCCCTAAAAATATTTTCTGACGATTAACTAAAAGGTACTTCAAACAGTGAGATGATTTCAAATACAATGGGTGGATTTGGAAGAGTAAAATTAAATTAGCGTCATAAAATTACCTCATCTAAGGCTCTGAAGGCTTGCTTTGTATGGGTCAACTGTAGGAACTTGGCGATGGGCAAGACATTTGATCCAGTGTACATGAGAATGAAGAAAAAGACACCGGTCAAATACAATTTGGATGTATGGGAATTATCAACTGCGACTTCACACAGTAATGAAGCGACTTTTTCAACCAGAACAGGATCGAATGTCAGCAGGAGTTGGACGATGTGCGGTAAACACTGAGGTGCAGATAAAAGTCGCTTGACACGGGGAATCGGCCATATTACTGCTCCATCTTCATTTCTGAAAAATAATAAGTAATAAATTGTAACCGAGTGTGTGATGAAAATCAGAGAGGGGCATTGCTTTTGAAAGGGTCTTGTTGAAGAAGAACAGTACAGTGAGCTTCATCATGTGATTTGTTAATCAGACTGAATTTTTTGAACAATGATGAAACATTCTTCTATTTTCTTACAATATGGAATTTGAAAATTTTGTGCGATTTTAATTTTGTGCCAGAAATTGCGATGATATGAAAGAATGAGGGTAGTTAGAAAAGCTATGAAGTAAAAGAAAAAAACAGGATATTTTTAGAGACACATATGAAATAAAAACGTTTGAATTATAAAGCATGACTTATCGACAGGGAAACTACCAGACAGAATATCTCATTTGCAATGTTTAAAATTCTTTGCTTTTATATATTTTTTTGAAAGAGCTCAAATCAATATAATTTCTTAAAGTTTTTACAGCTTTTTTTTCTTGCAAAGAAGAAAAATCACAGGAGGTTTCAAGAATTAAAGTTGAGTAGTTTTCCATTTAAAAAATAATGTCTGAAAAAGAGTCTGCATCGTCGCAAGTCGTGATATTAGGTCTGGTGGTTTCACCATACTTTGAAACCATTGCAACTCTGGGTAAAATTGAGGCCCACTTCATAATTTTTTTAAAAAAATGCAATGAGGCAACAGATTTCAAGGACGAGGAATTTGTGTGCAATTACTTGAAACATTTCGAGAGCAGAGAATTTTTAAATGATCAGCTCATTTAATTTTTGGGTGAGATCAGCAGAGGAAAACATGGATTATTACCTGCCAGGGAAATATTGCACAATTTTGATGAGGATGGACAATACCAACGAGGCAAGTTCGCTTTCATTCATGACAGACTGGCCTTTGGCAAGAAGACACCACTTCAACTGTGGGATATGATGTATAGATGCCCAACCGTCCATACCTTGTGCCCAAAATTTCGTTTTTGGATTGATGGTTCCATTTACCCACAATTCTTGCAGCTGAGAATAAAAACCACAGTTATCAAGCAATCACAAACAAAAGAATCATATAAAATAGATTCGACTCAAAGACAACTTCGGGTTTTTAAAAACTGATGCCTGTAAGATCAGGTCAAGTTTCAAGACTTTTTTATTTTTTATTCCAGATACTAAATATGTTGGCCTGATGAGACACCTTTAAATCAAACAGTAGCACCACTTAGCTACTTAAATACGTAATTTCATGGAAAGCGTGGCGTAGCTATCTAAGACTCAATTGCTTTCTCAATTTTTGGGAAACAGAGACATGTAAGATCAATTATGCTGATTTAAATTACAAAAAAAGCACAATGCCTGTTTGTCAAGCATTTGTCATTGCGCAATCATCCTGTGCAAAATCGATGGAAATCAATTCAAGAAATCAAACATGACAAGGCTGATGAATTGAATTATTTTTTACTTACTACCATTTTTTCCTTGTTATGCATCACTAACCATTGTAAAACTTTTGAAAGATACCATGAAGATAATTATTGTTTTATTTTAATCAATATATGCTAAATAAAATAAAATAAAGTAGAATTATTGCACATACCTCTTGAAAAGTGATGGGGCCTTTGCTTTCTTTCAATGTTCCATAGTGCCACTCTTTTTCATTATCTTTGTTTAACATATCCTGACCAGCTTCAATTACATTTGTTTGGGTAGGCATTACCGCTCTAAAAGGGGGAGAAAAATTTCATTACTATTAGCAAAGAAAATATGGATGAGAGTTAAAATAAAAAAGTGTACAATAAAAGCATGTAAAAATTCTGAGATATTTTAGAGAGACGGCCGCAGCAAAATCCTTATTTTCGACTGACGGATAGCCAGGATATAGCCAGATAGAATACTTTACTTGTGCAGGCAATGCAAATATAAGAGACTCATACAAGAAAAATAGAATATTTTCTGTCTTTCTTAACCCTAGTCTGCCAAACAAGTTTTTTCCACTAGTTTGCCAATACCGGGTCAGTTTAGACCCGTATTTAACATACACAGGATCTTCTTATTAGGTTTTTTTAATGCATGCACATATTTTAAATGATGTTTTACATCCGGGAAACATAAACTTACACTTATAGGCCTAATATTTTATTTTTCTTCCAAAGTTTAGATTAGCCAGCATTCAACATATTCATGAAAAACGCAAATGGCCACTGTCGCGTCTGTCGTCTGGCCGTATAGCACCTGACCATTTGAGCCATCGTATCAACCCCTGTTTTAGTTTTGTTGTAGTATAGGATGATCTCTGGCTTTGATTTTCCCTCAGGGATGATAGCAGCATCATCATGGGTCGTTGAAATAAAAAAAAAAAAAAACCCGTCATTTCCGCAGGAAATGAGAGATGGGTCAAAACTGACCCAGTATTGTAGTTCTCGCAGAATCATGAAAAAAAAGCTCTGGCTACTTAAAATTTTTTTTTCAGTGGTTTTTCTTTCAAATTCATGTAATTCAATGTTTTTGTAGAGCTATTTGTGAAGGTAAAGTTTCTAGGGGCAGTGGGTGAAAAATGGGCGTTCTTTCACAAAGCGCCAGGTCAAAAATGACCCATGTTTGGCAGGCTAGGGTTAATTTTAGCCACAAACTAATTCAATACTTGGATCAAAAAAAATAGTTTATTTTCTGGTAGTCAACTGAAAAAAAACTTAGATATACCAGAAAAGCTTTCTATTTGTAGTTGCTTTATGTTTGTGTTCTATACCTCCTTGGTATATACCCAAAATTTTCACCAAATTAAATTTACGAATTGCAGGTAGATTAACTTTTACAATATTTAATTTCTTTTGTAATGATTAACTAAAATAAAAGTCATAAAAACAGGCTTACCTGGATGTGTGGAGATGCGCCAAAGTTAATAAGTCAACTAGGATTTTTATACCATTAGCATCTAAAATTGATTTTATATTGTCTCGATTCAAGATAAGTTTATCAATGAAAAACAACAGCCGGTCTCGCTCTGTCCTATCAAAAGTCTGTAAGAAATAAAAGGATCATTCGGTCAATATATTATTTTCACTGATCAATAAATTCATTGGTCAACTCGGCACCTTGACACCGCTACATAAGGACGACATTAGATGCTACAACATGTTGCCCTCCAAAAATACTACAAGTATGAAGTGAGTAATTAAAAAAATTCCTGAATTTATCAACACATCCATATCTATTATGTTATAATCCTTGAAAAACTTGTGGTCCTAATTATTCAGTCAACAATTATTTATTATGATAAAGGCTATTATTACTTAGCTAGAATGGAAATCAATGAATTACTTACTTTATCTAGCATGTTGATAATATGACTAGTGTCGCTGAAAAATCCAATTTGTTCATAGAAACGACCGTAAACGATGGCCATGGCTTGCAAACACATGCTCCTCATTTCAGTTTTGCTATTCAACAGGAACTTGTGGTACAGATTGTTGAAGAATGCTTGACTGCAATAAAGAAAAGAACATACTTAAAACTCACATACAAAATCCTACAAGAGGTATCCTTAAACAAATCTTTAAAGATTAGCTCTTCTTACACTCCTATCTACTAGGACTTATAAACTAGGACAACTCCACTGTTATCGAAATCGGCCGGTCTTCTTGGATTGGACTTTGAAGCCTTATTTCTGAGTTGCACAGCTAGTGCATACAAACATGGATACATCAGTTTTGCTGGCACCAGAAACTCTAAAGCATTGGTAAAGTTGGCATATTATTATTTCTTTAAATCATTCTTGTCCTGGAAAAAATAAAATTTGAAGTAACACTCTTCATCTTACACTTTTAATTCTGACAAGAATTCTATGGAAAATCAATGGCCATAGTCCAAAACCATGTGCTTCCATTTGCACTGTTGAAGACTTCTGGTCATACTTTATTTCCCCTTTGAAGCATTAGTCAACATCATTTCTTAAAAATTTCCAAAATTTTTCTCTATTAGCATAATATTCTATGTAAACTGAAGGTGTTGAAAGCTTATTTCTCTTTGGCAAAATAAAATAGGAGCGGAAACTTTGAAACAATCAAATGAAGATACATGATTTTGTACTTTAGACAATGATATACAAAATTAAGAGGGAGAAGGTTGAAGAAAATATGATTACTTTGAGACAAAAAATCAATTGTACTTACGACTGCTTAAACAGCGTTTCAGGAGCATCATTCTTTTCTAATAAGATGCGTAGGTAATATCCATCGATGCATACTTCACCTTGTAAACATCTATAGGGAACTTCAAATTCATGATGATTCCAGGCCATTAAGGTGTGCCTTGCTATTTCACAGTCAGATTTGAATAATCGAATTTCGTTCTCCAAACTTTCTTTCAATTCCTCTCTTGTCTTGTGATTCCATATTAAGTTTGGTAAGGAATGGTCTTGAGCAAACTTGTAGTAGAATAGATTCCAATTGGCAACACTTTTGACCCGCTCCCTCCTCTTTCGCAGAGCAATTGGTTTGTCCTTAAGCTTGTCTTCTTTCCTTTCAAAACCTCTTGATACGCCCCAATGTAATAAGGCAAGCTCAATTTGTTTTTCTACGAGACGAACACGCTTTTCGATTGCGATTATGTGAGGGTTGCGACGATTTTGCGCGGCATGATCTTGGGCCAGTTTTAAATTATCTCGTACGAATAGAGCATCTTCATTCCCACCGATTGGCACACTTTCATCAGATTCTAAATAGCCGAGCAGCCCTGAGGGCATAATTCTTCTAAGTAATTCCATTGCTTTCGGGTTGTCGGTGACCCACAAGCCAACAAGGTGCCTCGAAAGTTGTCGGTGAGCTAATAATCGACTGTCGGAGTCACTGGAATACAAAGCAGTCAGTAAGTGGCAAGGAAGAGCTCCCTCCGATAATGCCAGCTCTTGCATTCGAGTCGCAACACTCGCCTCTCCCTCCTCTATTAATGCTCTCATGACAAGTCCTGCTCCTTTGATGACAGTAAGAGACGGATGCTGAAAGTGCTTGAAGAGTGATCGCCCCCTTTCAGCTACCATTTCTAATAAAGCGTCAAAATGCTTTCCTTCCGTAGTTTCGCTGTATGGTATGCAAAGAGCAAAAGTTAGAAAGTCCAACATGACGGAAACTACTAGCGCACCAGTGCCACAGTTAACATGGTGCATCCACATATCCAGCAACTGCTCCAAAAACTTTTGCGTTGATAACAAAGATGATTTATTCAATTGTTCTTGGCGGAGATCACAATCATCATGCATTGGGTGCATGAGGGCACAGATCATGTCTACAGCAGCATGGGTAATGGCTTCATTTTCTCGTTTCAAGGCACGAACCACTTTCACTCCAATGCCTTCTCGAAATCCATTCAAAGTTGTGAAAGCAGAAAATCCAATTTTAGATGCCACAAGTCGCCTAAGTGCTTGAAACTGAGCCTCCAGTTCACTATTTGAAATCTCAGTTTGATCTCCTTCTTTTATTAGAACTGACTGGAGAGCTAATATGATTAACTTGTCTTTATTTTCTGTAAATAAGCCATCCTGAGTGATTGAGTACAAGAGGCCACTGTACGGAATGTTACAATTAAACCTCTCAATTATTTCATTGAAAGACTTTTTAGAAGGTGGCTGATGCAAAAATTTTAATTGACTTGTTTCCACCTGCAAAAGAAAAAAGAATTTCAAAATAGACTGAAAATTGTATAATAAATGTAGAGCCGTAAAGAAAGGGAACGTTTCTTGAAATGTAATTTTGTGCCCATTCAAGGAGGAAATGTATGATTCTTCACACTTCTGCATCAGTAGAGTATAATTATTTTTTTGAATGATATCCTTCATGGCCTTCTAAAAAATTCAACTATTACAAACTTTCAAAACAGTCTTTGTTGTTGCACTGGCACCTAGCTAAGAGAATAAATGAGGAAACTCACAAAAAAAAAAAAAAAATATTGTGAACTAGTTTGCCATTAGAAAAAATGTAAAATAAAATAAGCTATTTAAAATACAGACATCACTGCGTTAAAGCACTTGATATCCTTGAGAGCACTTTATATCCGCAATACCAGTCAAACCTCAGAATCAAAACTCCTAGAATTAGAGTCGGAAAAACCACATTGAGACAATCAATTACCTCTTCATCGACAGGGTAAGAGAAAGGGCTCAGTCTTTTTCCTCTATCAGTAAAATTCATTTTGATATGAACATCTCGATTACCAGATGCTCTGACACTATCCATCAGTGAAGCTAATAACGAATCTCTGTAACATAACATAATATTGTATGAAAGCAAAGATAACACGATTTCAAATGTAAAAAAAATCTTTACAGGAAAAAATACAGAGACAATTTCAACATTGCGTTTTCAAAACTTGTGTAAAATTTTGTCTGTGTCATCACTGAGGAAAAAATCTTTCCAATGTTAACTACAGAAAAATAATGAAAAAAGAAGCTCTTCGTGCTCTTTTTGCAGCCACCATTTGGACATTTCTTTTAAAAATTTATTTATGTGGTTTTTGTTTTTCATCACACTAGTATTACACGACTATGGCAAGCTTACTAAGAGAAATCTGGTGAAACCCACATATGAGTATTGTTCTGACAGGAACCAAAGTTTATAAGGTGTGGAATAATGTGTTAGTTGATTATGGATTTCAATCTCAGTCATCTTAAGTACATATTTTATTAGAATGAAGGAGTAAAAAAGAATATTAATTTTCATTGATGGAACGTTTCATTACAGAAATCACCGGGGAAAATTAATGAGTCAGTTACTCAGAACTTACCGATTTGGAGCATTATAACTCCTTTTACTCCCATTGATGTATTCAATTGTAAATAGCTGCGGATTTGAAGGATCCCTAATAAGAGCAAAAATATCCGATAAAGGCCTTAGTGTAACTATACTATAAGTTTGAACATCACGCTCTAGTATGCAAGTTTCACTGAGACAAAGCAGACGGCGCTGTGATTCTGAATGTCTGTTGTTTTGTACTTTCGAGACAGTGAATTCCGCCATAGATGTTATGTGCTCATCGCCACTGGAAATGTTAGAAAGAATAATCAATTAAAATTCAATGTTTTTCTCTGCATACAATAAGACCTCAATTATTGGATGACGATTTAACAGATTCTGTGATTTTATTGTGAATTCCTTATTGATGAAATCCAAGAGATGCGAGGTGCAAAGTAAGATGAAATGAGGGGCTTGGAAGTCAAGGCACATAAGTGCAGTTTTTGAAAAAACTGATGTACCTAATAATTATTTCAATTAAAACTCGTCTTAAAGTATATTCTATGAAAAATTCACAACTAAAATCCAATTTTTAAGCACTAAACTGTAAGTTTGCACTCTCTTTCAGCCATAAGGTTACATGTAATTTTGAAACTTTAGACACATGTTTCTTGAAATAGAAAAAACTGCAATTTTGTGTCATATACTCCAAGCCCCTCAAATGAAGATATTGTAGCCTAAGAAGCAAAATCTTCAAGAGAAATTTCTCACAAAGACAAGATTGTGACAATGAAGCACTTAGTGATGGAAAATAGACAAGTCAGTCAGCTTTACAAAGGATGATATCATTTTCTATTTTTCCTCCTTCCTCTTCCCTCTTCCTACTTCCATGTCGAGAGAAACTTACAGTTATGTCATTAAATCATTTCCAGGCACAAATAGACAAGTCAAAAAAAGGAAAAAATCCTCTACCAACTGAAAAAATTGATTCAACTTACCTGAACTGTCCAAATCTTTGGGCTACTACTTCCTGGTCTAGAATGGAATTGGCAGAAAAGTCAATGCGATCATTAAGGTAATAGAGGGCAGCCTCTTGCATTTTTTTCTTGATGTCTTCTTTTTTGTGACAGGAGAAAAAGTGCTGTAAAAGGTCAAAGAAACGTCTTTCTTTTAGTATACTCTTTTTTTAGAACAATGAGACGAAGAAAAGCAGTCTTGAGTACAATAGATTAGTTTGAGGTGTTCGACAGCGGACAATCTAAGCAGCGTGATTTGAAAAAAAATTATAACTATTCCAGGAGAGGAAGGCGCTGGTTCGCAAAATCCGATTGATGACTTTTCACATTTTAAGAACCTTCCTGCATATCTCCCTGCTGAGTGAAAGACATTTAAAACTTAAGGAAAGATGATGGAAATGTAAAAGGACCTTGGAAATTGCACTATTTTTATCATTCTTCCACAGCTTTTGCTTTTTTTCGTGTCTTTTCTACTTTGTACTGCTTTCCACTTGAAAGCCTTTTCAAATTATGGGACCTTATCCCTCCTTTTCCATACTTGCCTATCCATATTTTTGGGACCTTTTCAGCCTCTTTCGTTTGTTTTTCCATATTTTCAAAACCTTTTCATATTTTTGGAACCTGTCCATCCCCTTTCCTTCCCTACTTTCGCCTTCCTACATTTCATGAATAGAACTGAATGTTTTTCAATTGATTTGATCTACCTTATAATCCATCAGTTTGTTAGTTTAACAATTTTTGAATGATTCTCTGTAAGTGCTGTAAATAAATTCACACCATGTAATTAATTGGATAAAATTAATCCATAGAGTACGTACCGCAAAAACGTCTTTTAAAAACACATAATTCGATCAATTAATGAAAGTTTGCAGCGCGCTATAATTGGTGGGAAATTATTGGACAAGCCAAGAAAAGGATCATCAATTTTGAAATCGGTTGGGAATTTTGTGGAGTGCCGACAGGTAAAATGTGGAGGACCAACAGGCAGATGAATATAAATGTGGAAGCCTGGAAGCTTCTAAATTTCCCTATGACATTAGTCACTTGATTGAAAAAACCAACGAGGGCACGGTTATAACAGAACTAAGTGAAAGAAGCATGAATAAACTCACCATTCGTCCATATTTACACACGACAACAAATCCAGTAGGAACGTCGGAGACATCTCGGATGCATTCAATATCATAGAAACAGTATGAGGCTAGTAACTGGTTGGTTGCAGTATCCAGCTGATCCAATGAGTACGGCGTAACTTCTAACACAATGGGTAATTTTGTTCCCGACCAATGATGCTTAAATGCTTCATATTTCTAGAAAAATAAATTCAAACAGAAACTTTAACAGTCATCTTACTAAACTATTTAATATTATCATTTAAAGAAACCTGGCATGGCCTTCACTGGATTTGAGTCCCCCCAACCCCTGGACATCTAAAGATACACTTTACATATGGACACATGGTCACCAATAGGCATTGTGCGCTTTTTGCCACAGTTTTAAGTGATAGAACAATTGAGAGGAAGAAGAGATCGTAATTCTGTACTACAAATTCAACAAAAAATGAAAAATAAGAATGAAATGAGACTTACAAGAATTTCTTGAGGTTTTTCATCAAACAAATGGCGATACTTCAAAGCATCAGAGAGTAACTGGGACCTGTATTCAGTGGAGAATCTCATCGAATCTTTCTTCCCATCTTTTTCTTTTTTCATGTGAATAGCAAATTCATGGCCTTGAGGTAGGGCCTTAATACTGATGATATCAGAATAAGGCCAGCGATTCGTCACCTCCAAACTATTTGGGTTGTATGTTGTGATCCCTTGCGTTCCAACTGAGAAAATACGTTTATATCTAAAACAAAAATGGGTAATATATTATGACAAAGGATGATCTCCAGAATCTTTGACGCTAATAGATTGATACCACAAAATGCACGATGAGAAAGCTTCTCGCGATTTTGTTTTCCATCATATTGGTTGAATTAAACCAAGTTGGCGGAGGTTGTGGTTCTTCATAAATTTAAATTGGACCAACAGTCAAATGTTAAACATTACATTATGGTTTTCTTTTCAACAATTTTCTTAGGTATCATTGGTATCAAGCATGAGCTGAAAATCAAGGAATGCAATTTTCCTTCTGAATGAGTAGGTTTTCTGATTTTTCAGATACAAGCAAGTTACCCCCTCCCCCCTTTCCAACACAGTCAAAACAAACAGAATGTTTTTCGGACCTCTGCGCGCAAATCACTCATATATGTTGGCAGTGATAACTCAGTACTGTGGTGCATGAAAGATGCAATTTGTAAAAATAGTGAATCACCATTTTACTTGGTTAATATTTACAATTTTTAATAATGTCTTTTAAAACACGGGGACAAGTTGAGAAACCTACTCTTGACAGTACATCTAGTGTCTGAACTTGTCTTCAAGCAATGAATTTTAAGAATAGTAATATCACTTATTCTTTTGAGCTTGAAAATGTTAATGTTTACACTTGCACTCTACATGGACACTATTTTTTCACTTGACTATTTTCTTGTAAGCATAAAATTAAGAGACGGTACAATTTCATTAAACAAATCAGTCAATTTTCAGTTAGGTACCAAACTGCATCAAAAGTTTGCCTCAACGGTTTTGAACAGCGGGAACATCCCTCCTGCAAAATTGAGAGGATGATACTGATGAAATCTTTCACCATAATCATTAAAATAAGTTGAGTAACTATAGAGAACACTTACTTTCCCTTCCATGAGTGTTTGACAACAAAGTAGCAAACAAGATCATTATTCTCTGGAAGTGGCAATATCATGTTCCCACCTGAAACAAGAACAACTAAATTGGAGTTAAAAACTAAGATACACAAACTGGCAACATTGCTACTTATTTAATTTTACTACTTATTTTATTTAATTTGGCTTGCTTAATTTTGCGAAAGACAGTTAAACGCTTTCACCATCCTCTTTGCTCTGGGATCTCTATTTTTCTGGATGTTTCTGTTCATTTTAATTATTGAGGTACCTCAATCAAGTGGAAATCCAAGTCACGATTGATCTCTTTTTTACAGCACTCTCTTTGGCAGATTTTCTTAAATTCTCTTCCCATGATCAAAAATGATATTCCATCAGTGCCAGACGACTCTTCGAGATAATAATGACAGTATGAGGATCGAAACTTTTATTGAGTTTAAACAACTCGATTAACTACATAGATAGAAACATAGGGAATCGGTTGGTTGCAATGGTCACAGAATTGTTTCTTGGTGCTTGATTCTTGTAGATTAGTTAAAGAAAAAACGACCTGACTAAATTGCAAGTTTCTGCGTTCAATATTAGCTGAGATGTCACCCCTTGAAAAGTTGAGTTTTTGACGTCATCCACCGCGGTAATGACACCCTTGGTTTCTTCCACCTTGCCTTCATCAGATGGTGTGACGCACATTTGCATTGGTTGTTCAAAATGAAACTCGGATGAAAGCAAGGTGGAAGAAACCAAGGGTGTTACTACCATGGTCGATGATGTCAAAAACTCGACTTTCCAAGGGGCGATATCTTGGTTAATATTGAACGTAGAAAGTTGCTGTTTGGACAGATCTTGTAAATTTTGGCTGATCCACAAGAATGAAGCATCAAAGCACGATTCTGTGACCAACGCAACTGACCCATTGCCATTAATCATTTCATGAGAATGATTTAGTCGCTTAGCAGAGCCCTGATGTCAATGGGTAGTTACACAGTACTGGTAGTTAAAGAATGACACACAGGCGTTGGAAAGCTAGTTCAAAAATGTTGGAGACTACCTTGTTGGTTCTCCTAGCTCAAGTTATTTTGGAAAAAAAACAGGCTTCTTCAGATGTGCTCAAAAGAAATCATAACTACTTAGATCTGTCTATGCAAGTCTGATCAATTAGCTCTGAACCGCTGAGTCAAAAGTGCTAGCGGATTTTCTCCCAAGTACATCACTCGCAGGTGTGTGAAAAACAACTTAGCCGCTCATTCAAGGGAACACTCCTTGGCAACACTTCCTCCACGCGCTTAATTGAAATTGTAATAGATGTTTGAGTCCAGGAGAAAAAAGATTCAAGAAGACGGTAGCTTACGAACAGGTACATAAGATTAACTTTTAGTAACACAAGCTGCAGCAGAGCAGATTACTATGATGTGAATGGTTCGTTCTCAAAACAATAAATTTGATCAATACCCTTCATAAAGACTGCCACCAAAGAATAAGTAAAATAGTTTACCCATTACACTCGGCGTAAATGTGAAACAGGACTCATTGGACGCATTCTCGGAAGAATCAACACAACCTTACACGATTTGTCGAGCTTGGTGAGGTGAATACATTTCACTTTGAGGAGTACGAGTGATCATATGGAAACAAGGATACATGCTATGCTGGACTAGTGTAAAGAACAAACATTATTGTGTACAAAGTAAACTGATCTTGAGAAACAGCTGATTTGTATTTGGTTTCTAGAAATCAAAGAAAGTTTTCCTAATGGAAACGAGTAGCTGATTAATTTGTTTGTTTTAAGGTAATTATCAACCTCAAATGTAAGGTGTAGAGCCAAAGGGAGTGAGATTTTTGAAAATAAGACAGCGTAAGGAGCAGATAAGATAATTTATCTCAACAAATGCACAGCCCTTATCATAACCAGCTTGATCAACAAGTACTTATTGGACAATTTGACTCACCATTGATTCAACGAAAGATGAATGTACGCAACTGATAAGGAGCTGATATTATCGAACATTAAATTTTATAGCAATGTGCATAATAAAAAAAGTATGATGTGATAGATTGTGCTAACTTATCACTGCGATCTCAAAATTAACCTAGCTCATTGTTAGGGGCAGATCGCGACAACAACAAACCCCCAGCTCAGCGATTCGAGTCAGCAGATGATCAGCATTCAGCAATAAATGTTGCCAATTCTACCATTTTCACTGTGATGATAGCGCAAATTTTGATTAAAAAATTTTCATTTATCATGGAAAATATAAATGCAACAAAAAACTGGGCTTCGCTGAATTGCTTGCTTCATTTTCAGAATGATTCTTTTATTTTAAAAAATTCACATTTTCCGCTTGGCAACGATGTAATTCAATTCCGCCGAAATCATTCAAATTTTGGCGGGAACATTACTCTGTAAATGTAGGACGGAAGGCGATGCTGGTTTAGTCTAGGTACCTTACTTAGTTATATTTAAAAATATTCCATTGTCTTAAAAAAAGAGAGTATTTGACTAAAATTCGGTCTTCTGAAGTTCTTCTCAGCACAAGTAGTAGTACACAAGTTGTTGTAGTTGTCGTACAATACGAAGTTGCACGTAGGTACTGTATATTTGGTGGTCTCCACCAAAAAAGTTATTGAAGGGTGTAATATTTCACTGGCGTTATCAACTTGAATAAATTCTAACTAAATTACAGAAAAACCCTCGACTTGCACCCGAATTTGTGCAAATTTTCTGATAAAAAATTACTCAGAGGAAGATTAAGCATTGTAATAATTGAATTAAGTACTGTCTCCTGGATAACTTTATGGCTTACAATCAGTGCAACAATATGAATAAGATAAAGTCTCAGAATGATATTGAAACACAATGTGGTCATTGCAGACGAGCAGCAGTTATCTACATACTTAATGGGAAAAAGAAAAACCTCTGAGAGAAATTTGAACTCCCCATCGACGGTAAAATATTTTTCAATATGTTTAAAAGCGTTGGATGGAAAAGCTTTGAATAAATAAGGTGAGCTTATTTCAGAGTTTGAGTGTCAATATTTACATCAGTTTTTTAAAGAGGATGGACATTAAACAAGACTGACAATGTACGGAGCCTATCAGACAAAAGTGCGCTCATTGTATGACATAAAGATTATTAAGTAAATTCATTTCATTGATATGGTGCATAATAATGTTGCTCAATTGCGCCTTCTCATTGATCTCCCAAAGGTATCTGATAGTTGCTGCCAAAAAGCAAAAAAATACATACAGCCTAATTATAGCACCTCGTCGCTGATCATCCAGAGAGAAACAGAGGAAAGGGCCTAAGTTTACTAATGAAATAGGACCAGTAGTTAATAACTTCAAACAATGTTTTATTGCTGTTAATACAGGAGGTATGATACATCAAAGTACATATTTTTGGACTGGCCAATGGAGATTAGTTCTTGGAATAATCAGACATTGACTTCTTTCCAGTATTAATTTCTTGAAATAATTAGCAACTCCTCTGTAAACAGACATTTTTGAAAAGAGAAGACATTCTGAGGCAAGAAATACCTAAAGAGAAAAAATTAAAAGTGTGGCCCGATTAAGGTGAAGGGCAGGATCGTAGAATAGTGCTGTGTTAACTTCATTTTGAGAGGCAATCAAAAGTAGAGGTGCCAAAAATTAGAATTGGAGTTGCAAAAAAATAAAAATAAAAGGAAATTACTAAATGGTCATATTCATTACAGGAAAAGTTTTGCCTTTCCTGGGACAATAGGAATGGGTTGTCTGTATTAAGTGGTGCCAAGGCAGATTTATTTTTAATGAAAAATACAAATTGAAGTTACAAGGAAATAATGGTATTTACTTATTTTACAGAAAGGAAAATAAAACGACTTAGAAAAATAGTTATCACACGATGCTTCATTAAAGGTAGACTTATAAGCTGCTTCCGTCTCCATGGCGGATTCCATAGCCAATAGATCAATTCATTATTTCTAGATGTTAAGAAATTTTGTGAGAATCTTTGACAGAATACAGTACTGAAATGCAGAGTGTAGTGCACTCTTGAGAAAAATTTGATTGAGAAATACTGTGAAGTAAATTCAAAGAGCGTCCTGAGTAAAAATCGTAAATCGAAAGACAAAGAAAAGTTACAATATTCATTTGGAACGAATTTTTGTAGTTATATCTACGTGATTCCTGATCAAATTTTGTACATACATGCCTCACACAATACACCTTGATATACCTTCCAAAAATTTCTGAAAGAAATATCTTAGAATCCAGAGATTATCATCTTGGTGGATCATCATATTTTTATTGAATGTACCGTAGATCCATCTCGAAGAACTTCTCTCCTTTTTTTTAAAAAAATCACAGAGAAGTAAAACGGCGATCTGCAAGATTATTTTTTAATTAATCATTTGCTGTTTCCTTGCAGGTAGATTTTCTTACGCTATGAAAAAGTATCTTATCAACTCAGAAAACCAAGAAACAGCAAGAGTGGAGATGTAAAATGTGTGCCAAGGACTCGCTGAAACTGGAAAATTGAGATTACACTCATACCCTGATTAAGAATAAAAAGGATAAGTACAGGGACAGGTACTTAAATTGTTGGGATGGGAATTCCAACAAGCAGATTATTTTTTGGGGTGCACGATTTAGGAACCAACTTTGAGATGAAAACCTTGTAATGATTTTCTTTTGCATACAATAATCTATCAGAGTCCAGAGATGCCATGCATTTTTCACCTTGACTTGATTTACTGTACTCAATACCGTGAACTTGATCGGCACAGTGGCTCAAAATCAAATAATCACGAGGCGAGAGCTTGGACTTTGCAATTAGTTGACTCCGAGGGTACTCCAACACATGGTTGTCCTACAAACAGTAAAGGAACAAGGCTTTAAAAATCATATAGCACATGATGAGTATGATCATGCATGGAAAAGAAAATATTTGTCAGAAAAGGAAATTGTAACGCATAATCACAAAATGCAGTGAATGAGGAAAATGAGTGAGAAGTCAGTAACAGTAGAGGATTTTAAGATATTTTCATTTGAAAAATCTTTTGAGCTGTGAGCAACTTTACAAGCTTAAAATTAGATGACCAATTCCAATTTAGTACACTATATATTAAAATTTTGGTGTGGGAATTCAAACTTTGCTAAGCGGTTTTATGTAGTTTAATAGGTACTTACGATTATTAGCAGGTTCTTGCAATTTTTCTCTCTCAAAACTTTACCAAATCATATTTGGCAAAGTATGTGAAGTTTCTAAAATTTTGTACTTGAGAAATTTTTGAATTTTTTTTTTTTTTAGAATCTGAAGGTTTGCTGATGAAGTATTAAAGTTTCGAACAACTTACTTTCAAGGATCCGTAACAGCAAGGACAAACAACAAAAGCTGCTTTACTGTCCACACAACTCTTCATTACAAGGTCTGTAGCCACTCCACATGCATGCAGTGATGTTCCGATCTGTAAACAAAATTCCCATTTAAACATTTTTTCATTTCTAACACTTTCATTGCATTGAAATCCTGGCATTTATGGGCGAATAGCAGCCCCTTTGCCATGCTCAATGACATGGAATTTTAGATTACAATACATTAAAATACCGATTTATTTTAGCCCTTGCAAGAAAAACAGCTAAACTTTGGTTTCAAACATTTAATTTTGGCGAGAGAGCTGCTTACCTGATATTTTCCTATGAAATAATCTAAATTTGACTGAATGATGACAGTATTCTGAAGGCCAAGCTTAGCAATACGTTCTTTTGCAGAGGAAAGAGATTTTTCTTTGTTGTCCAAGAGAATTATCGAGCATTTGGGAAGCAAGTAGGCTATTGCAATTCCAAGGTGGCCTCCTCCAGAGCAAAAATCAACAATTTTATCTCCATCTCTGGCAATCTGCAAAATAAAAAGGAGAAAGCAGAATAGAATTAATGATAGAGAGAAGGAAGATAAGAGGAAAGTCATCATGGTAGAAAATAAAGAGATAAAATGACCATTAATGGACAAGGAATTTAACATCCAACAAACCAAAAAAAAAATGTCTCTGTTTCTTGCTCTTTTTTCTGGTATCCTAGTGCGTACTGATTGAACTTACACTTCCCCCAACAAATTTTCTAAAACTTTAATTTGGTTTGAAATAATAAGCATTTGAACGTCAGGAAAAAGTGCCTTTTCTATAACATGCAATGTTTTGAGGGGGAAAGCCCATATGAAATGATGAATTTAAGCTATGAGACTAGTTTAGCCTGCTACTTTAGATGATAAGAAATGCCATCAATGTATCTGTGTTTCAAAATCTTTGTAAAACTTGTGGAATATTTTTGGATTACCATTGGTAGGAAGTTGAAAAAATAAAAACCCACCCGCAGTAAAGCTCAATATGCTGTTGACATACGATTCGTATCAAGGCCAGATTCCACCAAAGTTAGGCCAAACCCTCTCCCTCCTCATCCAGACTGTCAGGAGAGGCTCTTCTCTTTTTTCGTCCTAATTTTTTAATCTTCCGTCCTTTTATCTGGTCTCTATGTGTCAATAATGCCCTATCTGAAGTATGGAATTCAGATGTGATTTTATGGTGAAGATCGATAAGAAGAGAGATTCAGCAAAAAGAGGACTTCATTTTCCTGCAGCCTGATCGTTGAAACTTTGTGTTTGTTGGGTAGACATAGATGACAAGGCGGAGCAAGATTGGTCGGCTCTGTCTTATCGCTGCTTTGTCGTGCCTAAGTCAGGTGGAACTCACGACAGGCTAAAGGCACCTCTCAAGTTTCAGACAGTATGTCATCCATTCCACCTGACAAAGGCATGATAAAGCAGCGATAAGACATAGCCAAACAATCACCCTCTGCTTTTTGACCTATGTCTTCTGTGTCTACCTGACAAACACAAAATGTCAACAATCGGGCTGCAGGTCTCTATGTTTCAATTGTGCCCTATCTAAAGTATGAGATTCAGATGTAATTCTATAGTGAAGGTCGATAATGAGAGAGATTCAGCAAAAAGAAGACTTTATTTTCCTGATGGGAAGTTTGAATCATTCTCACAAAACAGAATATTTCTACCTTTTCAAAGAAATTTCGTAGTGTATAGGGGATTGAAATTCTTTTTCTTCACCCACCTTGATTACAGCTTTCATCAAATTTTCTAATTGTTGCTGCTTTCTTAGCAACCGTTTTTGTGGTAAATGACCGCCCTCAGGTTGCGCATAAAATGGTATTGAGTCCCAGTCCATAGGCACTTCGTGTCCATATGGCAGCTCATCCACACCAATTCCGAAATCAATTTCATTAATCATGTTGATTAGACTGTCAACTTCATTTTGGTCTGTAAAGACTTTACTTTTTGGTTTATATCGTTTTGGTTCTTTCCGATACAAATTAGAATTGGAGACTTCAGGAACTCGATACTCAATTTTAGAGTTAGAACTAAAAGTTTTTGGATAACTTTTGAACACATCAAAGCACTTTTTAACTTTACTTTCAGACATCATCAGCGTGTACCATTTTGAAACATGGGGGATATGTTCTGAAACAGATTTCTCGGTTGCTTGTAGAAAAACGTGGATGTAAAACAGGATCACTAAATCGGCCAATGTCATGCTAAAACCTTCCGCATACAAGGGCTTAAGAATTTTATTGTCACAATTTTCCTTTAACTGATCAAACTTTTGGACATTGTGCGTTCTCAAGGGCTGCTCCAAGTGTTTTTCAAACCGTACTATGTGAACTGGGATTGTGACGACATCTGAGTTGGATTTGATCACTTCTTCAACAGCCTGCGGCAAGTCTACTTCGCCAAGTCTTGTCCACAATGATACTTCTGCACATGCTGCCATAGTTGCTTCACGAAACCCTAGTAGCCATTTGTTGCTTTCACCACTAGCTTTCACAATCTAAAACAATTTAAAAATTGACATAAGAGCAACTTTTGACTCATTTCATTTTTACGTTTACAGACACAGAATAAGAAGCTAGTGGAACAGAGAAAATAATAATTGTAAAACCAGCCGAAGAATGAATCAAGTAGATGTCTACTTTATGTTGATGACAAAGATTAAAGCCGGCAGATTATCTTGCATTATCTAATTGCGGATTGATCGTCACATTTTATTTTATTGAAGCATTGCTGATCATCGTTAATAGCGGCGAAGCAAGTTGACTATCAATAATTTCCTATTTGAAGCTATGTTACAGAATCAATTATTGAATTGTTTGTTATAAACACCCTCATGATTAATCCTCTGCCATAGGTTTAAATGGCAGATCAATCAATTCATTGCAGAGTACAACACGACACTTATTGGTACAGCACCAAACTTCCTGTTTTTTTGTATCTTATTTATTGCTCCTTTCAAATATTCTTTGGTAATTTTCCCTATCAAAAACACCAAACAATTCTGTTTTAAAAAAATTAAATAGGAACAGAAATTCTAGAATAATAAGCGATTAATTGAGACATGTACTTCCGCAGTTTTATCGCAAAACAGATAATTGACTAAATGTGAAAGGACTGCTTAAATAGTTCATCATAAAAGAAAGCATCATAATTCTTTTAAAATGTTTGGGTGCTTTGAGATAATTTTTTTTCCACTGATTTGGTGCTGTCACATGTATTCCCATTAGAAATGAAGCATTCTAGTTCACCTAGGTTGACCACTGTAAAATTTATTCAAAGATTTTTGCGGTTTTAATTTTTAATTTGTTTTTGTGCAGGTACACAATGATAAGGTTTCATGATTTCTATTATTATGTAAATTCTGATCATTTGATTTCTCCAAAAAGCAGAGAAGAATCATCTATCGTAAAGTACTAACCTGTCTTAAAACAGCACATAAACCAGCAACGCAGTAATGTTCTTGCACAAGTAGAAAGGCTGGTAGACGGCAGTTGCCCACAATTTGATTCAATTCACCTTTTGTCAATAATTTAAACTGACAATCACTTAAAGTCATATGATAGCTAGTCATTCCAGGCGGCTTATCCACTTGCAAGAAGAAAACGTTATTGGTGATTTTAAGATAGTTGAGAAGGTAAAGGCTAACAGAGGTCTCCACCGGGCATTTAACATAATTAGCGTTGAGCTCATAGACTTCCAAGTATAATTCCCCATCCATGGCTACCATTGCTTTTTTCTTCCTTCTTCTTCCATGCAGTTTTCTGTAAAGAGACAAGAGGGCTAAAGTTTTTATTTCCTAGTTCATTTAAACGGACAAAGAACATGCATCCTGGAACAAATTTTTTATTAGATAAGAGGAATGAGAGAAAATTTGGACTTCATACAAAAATAAGAGGCAACTCAAAGCGTCCACCTAAGAAAGATCTTCTAGATGTTGCAACTTTTCATCACTGAGAGACGTAAGAGCAGAGGTAAAACAGTTAAAGGACCCCGCAAACTCCTTATGGGAATGTGTACCATGATTGATTTCACTTTTTTTTATTGCATTAAACTCATCTAAGGATGCTGATCAAAAGTCATCATTGAACCAACTTTCTACAAGCTTCTGTTTTTGCACAATGCATTGTGGAAGTTTCATTAATTCCTTAAATAAAAGGAGGCAGGCGGCGATTTAAGAGCCGAAGAGATCCCTCATTTCAGCATTAGAGCATGGTCGGCTGTGTGTGAAGAAGGAAATCAGGAAAACCAGAACAGCAGTCTTATCTCAGATTCCGCACGCCTTTTCGCTTGACTATCCAAATTAGTTGCTTGCTCTCTTTCTCTCCCACTCTCCCCCTTGCCTCTCACAGGCTGAGTTTTTCTTTGTTTAAACTGAAAGAGAGAGGGGTCTTATTGACTCTTTATTGCCTTCCTGCATTCCTGCCTCCTTTTATTCAAGGAATTATTGAAACTTCAACCAAGAATTGTGCAAAAATGGTAGCTTGTAGGAAGTTGGCGCAATGATGACTTAAGATCAGCACCCATAGACGAGTTTGATGCAATAAATTAAAAAAAAAAGGGAAACCAATCATGATACACAATCCTACAAGGAGTGAGCAGGGTCCTTTTGACGTTTTGGAGAGCAGATAGTAACTGATAAGTAAAACAACTGACTCTGGAAATATAAGGGATTTTAAGATGATGCAGTTTAATAAAAAAAAATTGATATCAAAATTGAAGATAATGAAAGGACAGAACATTTTAGGAGGCTAATTCAAGGTTACAATTCATGGGTGCTATTTCTTTTTAATTTTCTTTTCTTTTGTTTTACCATGCACAAAAAAAAATAAATAAATTAGTGTTTAATGATTACAGAAAAAACCAAAGTCAATGAGTAGTCAAAAAGTATTACCTAAACGCTATTTGCTAACTGTCTCTGGACTTTCCTCATCAGACGATGGTCCAAAATACGCTGTCTCAAAATTACTATGCAAGTTGAGAGTAAGCTAGAAGTGCCCATTAAGAATTCGAAGACCCAAAAACGTTTTTCTTCCAGCCAGGCTACTTTTGTACAGCTGAAATGATATTTAAAAAGAAATTATTGCAAGTTATAATTTAAAGAATATAATAGTAAATGCACTCTCATTTTGCTTAAAGAGTGCTGAACAGATTTAAGATTAAATTTACAAGGGAGATGAAAACATGATTATGCTTATAATTTATAAAGAAAATTAAAAGCCAGTGCATATGTTTAAATGAATTCACTCTTACCATAGTTCATTTAGTTTCAGAACTGGAAAATTTCGTCGAAAACAAGAAAAGATCATTATCGTACAACAAGAGCAGGATAAAAACAAATATAACATTAGCAAAGAGATGATCCTCTGCTGGATTCGTAGAAAATTTTAATGTACACAACTGAGTGCAGAAATTACCTCTGGTAGATTACATGATTTGACTTCAGACACTTGATTCCTTCTTTATAATGAGTTTTGGCACAAATTTGAACACTCTTGCTTTTAATTTCAAAATCTGAAAAGAAAAGATTTGTAGTATGAGCTCAGACCTAATCATGATCTAACTAAATGGTCTTGGCGACTCGAGAGCCAGACATTTACTTGATAATGATGGCATAATACTGATGACAAATTGAAAGCATTCTACAAGTGGAATTAATTTCAATTACAATGGGTCTGTTGCAAACTTTTGCTGGAGCAAAAATAAGAGTTGTTACTCATAGAAAAAATCAGGATGAGCACATCAGCAAAGTCTGAAATGCACTTCTTGCTTCACAATTTGCGTATGAAATTTGCGTTTTTTCGAGCTTTCCACTTCAAAAACGATACCACGGCACAGGTGAACATTTCGTTAGAGGAGTCATTCCATCCAACCCCTGCTCACAAGGATACTACGCAATATTCAACATAGCCGATGCATGAAGTTTGAAGGAGCGGTGAGCGCCTTGATCTGATCTAAGGGTTGAAACGCAGGTGTATTGGCACATTCAAAGAACCCGAGATCCCTAAAGTCCTATGCACTTATGTGACATTAACTTTGACTTTAATCAAACAATTGGTATCTTCAAATACAATACTTAATGATAAGAAACAGTAGAGGTAAAATGTTGCAAGTATGAGAGAGAGAGAAGTAATGATGAAAAAATTCATAAAAATGAAATATAGGTACCTGTGCATGGATGGCAAGGTTGAACAACAATGTATTGCTCGTTTTGTGGACAAGCCTCAGCTGGATTAGAGATGTTCCTTTCAAGCAGCTCTAGGCCAGGTCGATTGTTTGCTGATGCCCAATTGCTTTCGATTATTAAAACCAGAAGTGTAATCCTTGAAATAGAGGAAAAAGAGAAATACAGTAAGTTCTGTGAATGTAGATCAGTTCTTTCTCCCCCCCCCCCTCCTTTAGCTTTCTATTGTCTACTACTATTGGATACTATTATCTTTTCTGAGGCTATAAAAAAAATTATTTGGCTATCAATGCAAACAGGGTGGTTCAAAGCAGCAAGGCAAACGAGACGAATTTAACTATCTTTCGGAAATAATGCACCTCAGCTTGAGAAAATTTAAGTGGACAAATTTATGGTCTCATGATGATACTGACGGAGAGACTGCAAAGATGAATTTCTTGGTTTTCTTCGTAGCAACGTTCCTTTCATACTTTCCTTTTAAATGGAAAAAGACTTGATGTCATATCTTGAGAGATCCTCTGATTTATCTCCTCTGTGTGAAGAATATTCTATGACCAGTTCAAGCAAGAGTTTGGGTTTGTTCTCCTTTGATCAAATAAAATGGAAGCACAGATTTTGGAACATCTTGAACGCAATATGCATTCCAGCAGTTTCACCATTGGTGTGTGAAGAAATGGTTCAGATGGTCACAGATGATCTGCCATTTTGATTCTTCCGCTTGCTTTACCAACATGTGTAAGAGACGTCTGACAATCCTCCGATACAGGTTAGAAGTGTGTAAACTTATTTGGCGTGAACTGTAAGTGACAATAATGGAGTAATTTACCGACAAAGAGCAAGAGCTAATAGCGTCATGGCAGAAAGTAGACCGGACCAATACTGTGATCGAGCCATGTTCTAGCTTCAACAACTCTCATGATGTAAATTTCAAAAATATGTATGCTGAGAAAGAATGTAAAGATGGCATGGTATTATTCCAACTTTGGCTGCCCTTTAAATACTTGAATTTTAGACAAATGGTCTAAGCTCAGTTTCAAGGAGTCAGCAATGCTGCCCTAGTACAAAAAAAGACATTGAGATCTGCGCGCTTGGATTCTAGATACTTCATGGCAAATGCTGAAAATTTGAGGAGACCAAAACTTACCCTCCGAGGAAGATGATACTCAGCAACATACACTTAGGTGAACATGATTCAATCATTATTTCGATTTTTTCATCCTTTATTCGAACCAAAACGCAAAACAAAACATATTGAATTCGAACTGTAAGTAAACAAGTTTCTAACCTCACTTTGATTTTGATTTCATGATTTCCGGTTCAGTCCGTTCCACTATGGTTCCACTTCATTCTGACACTCGGAATCGAATGGGGAATGCTGCCACAGGCAGAAGATGCAACTATTCGTGGTCTGTAGATGTGCGTGTTGCATACCCAAAAATATGAAGGCATTTTAGTTTACGTTGCGCTCTTGATAAAGGACTCCAAGTGACCGTCGCAAAAAGGTTAGTAAATTTTAAAGTTATCACCCTGTTAACCCTTAGATGCCCAAGACGTTTTATACTCTACAGCCCGAGGCGAGTTAAATTGACCCGTATATTTGAAAACATTTCCTTTGTTAGTTTTGGAAAGCATTACGACGGTGAAACTACCAAACCACGCATCTCGGTTTGCGACGTCGCAGACTTCCTGTCATACTTTATTTTGAAATAGAAAACTACTCAACGTCAATTCGTGAAAACTTCCGTGATTTTTCCTCTTTGTGCGGAGAAAAATCTGTGAAAATTGTAAGGAATGATATTGATTCGATCTCCTTCAAGAAAATAAAATGTGAGTGGAGATTTTTAAATTCTGCAAACGAGATACGTGGTCTCGTAGTTTCACCGTCGATTATCAATATTATTATGATTCAGGGGGTAAGAAATACTTTTTTTTAAATATTCACCTTATATAGGTGACATACTGTCGTTTTCTCACTCCCCTCTTCTTCCGCCAGATGTAACTCCCTAGAAAAAACATAGTCCGGTCAGTTTGACCCAGTTTGAAATTTCCTAGGGTAGTCGTCAAAGAAAAACTTTAGGACATGACACAACTCTCGCCAAAATAAATTTTTAAATTACAAAAAGAGGAGATTTTTTGAGGCATTTTTATAATTAAATAGAAAAGATGCATACTTGAAAAAAAAGTCTCTTGTATCTATAGAGTCCAGACTCTTGAAAGATTTGACGACGTAAAAAACACTATTGATTCAATCGGACTTTAGCTTGAATCAAAAGGAAATACGCTTAAATTAAAAGGCTTGGCTCTCGATTCAAGCAAAACTCCGATTGAACCAAGAGTATTTTTTCTTCTTAATTTTTTTAAGAGTCTAGACTCGAGCTCCAAGAGACTTTTTTCGAGTTCAGTCCAAAAATGTAGAAAAAAAAGTTTGCCATGTAATTCGCATGGATCTAAAATACTTGTTTAATCTTCGCTAAATTCTATAGCGGGAAAACAAGGAACAGTATTGACATTCCAGGTTTTCTTGCTTTGTTTTGGATAATCAAAGTATCATGAAAATTGCTGAGCATGGCTTTATGAAATTTTATTTCAAAATATGTAACCTAAAATAATTGAAATTCTGCCTTTCGATATTTCTTTTAAAAATCCCGAATCGAAAAAAAATAGTTTGCATATTTTTTTTATTTATTCATCTTCAAGAAATTTCTAGTTTTTTGGTTTTCTGGTCTAGTTTTCTAGTTTCTAGTTTTCAGTACTTTTTTTCGCCAAATAGGTACTCGTTTCTCGTCGCACAACTGCCATTCTGACTGAGAACCAAGACTCTTTTAACAAATGTTTACCTAATGAAGAGAACGCTTGTTCAGCCTTCAATTCCTGTAGATGCAACATTTTATTCCTTCGTGACGCTGTGCTGTTTTTAACCTCTTTCTGTGTGTCTCTCTCTATACAGGGTGTCCCAGGATTAAATACGAATATTGAAGGAGTCGATTCCTCGGATCAATAAAAGACGTGTTTGTGGTAAAAATTTTTTTCCAAAAACGCTTTCCGTGGGCGCCACGACTCCCCAAAAGTGGAGGAAAAAAATCGTCTTTTTAACACTGCGGCAATGTTTATCAACCAATATTAATGAAAATTGGTAACTAGGAGTAATTTTTAGCGTTCTCTTCATTTTTAACCCCCAAAAAAGGTAAAGCTCATTTCGAGGAAGGTTTAGGGGGGTACCGAACCTAAAAAAGGCCAAAATTAATGTTTCTAACGATAAAAATCGATTTTTGACGGCACCACAAGATTCAGCGTTGAAAATGTCCCCTGCGTTTTTTCGCTATAACTCATCGTTTTCGAGATAATAGGGACTAATAGGGAATAATTGGAGCTGATAATAGGGGGATAATGGGGCCCCTACGGAAAGCGTTTTTCGAAAAAAAGTTGTACCACAAAAAGTCTTCTTTTGACCCAAAGAATCGACTCCTTCAATATTCGTACTTAATCCTGGGACACCCTCGAATCATCAAGATTTTGAATGCCTCTTTTCGCTATTTTTCCGTAGAGAGTTTATCTACGATTTCATGTCTTGTAAACTACGATTGATTTCATACTGCCATAAAATTTTAGGTGGTGAAACTCATTTTGGTTCAGCTTAAAATTTTAGGATACTAAAATAATGTACACATTGTAAAATAGTGAACTAAAATAAACTAAAATAGTAGATTTTTATTCTTACATTTTGGTGAAGTTGTTTTCGTTTTGATGAATGCACTGAATCATTAAATTTTTAAAAAATTATCCTATGAAATTTAAAATTTACTTTTTTTAAACAATTTTCACCATCATTAACATTTTTGTCGAATGTTTGTCCTAAAATTTTGTGCTGATATTTATGATTTCATAGATATTTTTAAATTATTTACTAAGAGTATTGGTGTGATTAAAAACGCATGCCAAAATTTAAAAAGTCAGAAAAGAAAAGTTAGGTTCTATGATTCACTAATAATTAAGAAGAAGAGCCTAAGGCCGGAAGTAACAAAGCTCTCATTCCTGCAAAGTCCCGGCTGTTTACTTTTCCGGCGAACTTCAACGGAGAGGTGCATTCAATTGCAAGTGAGAAACAAAAGTTTTTTCATTTACACACATTCTTTTACAATATCTCTTATCGCCGTATCGGGATACTCCGTTCTCATTCCTAGTTTTGAATTCCCGGAAAATTTGGAACCTCAGGCGAGTCTGGATACACAGGCGAAGCAAATGTTTATCAACACCACAGGAGAACAAATAGGATAATAATCTGCGTGGAAGATCAAACCGTGCTAAATTGATCGTGAAAGAGAGAGATTTCTGATCGAGAGGTAAACACGTTCCAAGCATTGATGAGGTATCACAGTGGGTAATTATGACTGACGAGTATCTATCGATCGCGAATATATTCTACAGACCCACTGGTGCGATTTTTTAAGCCCGCGGGGCTGATACCCTCTAACATGACGCCAGTTTGCACACAAATATATGAATGAGACATTTATGGAAATAACGAACGATGAAAACAGCAAAAAAACGCTGTGCCATTCTAAACGATAAGTAGAAGGAAGACTCGCAATTCATCAAATTAGCATTCCTTACAACCATGGCTTGAAGTACGAATGTGCAAAATAGTTTTCAATTGCAGTTCACAAAATTATAATAAAACATTTGAACGAGCATCCTCTGAAAAAACCCTCCCCCTTACACGCAAGATAAGCGTGAAAAACGAAAATGTTTTTTGAGGACGCTTCAAAGAGTGATTTTTTTTACTAATATTATCATTTTTTCTTGAATGAGTAACGTTGTTAGTATGTATACAAATTGGAATAGAGCGATCCCACCCTAAAAGGGACCAAGTCGAAACAGCTTACGATTTGAATCCATATGGATTGGAGCCATACCCAAGTGGACTTGGCTCCATGCTTTTCGAAACAATCTTCCATCACAAATCATTTGATACTTTTTATACTACGCATAGATTTATAAACTTAATTTCTTACTTAAACAGAGATTACAATTACCTATTCTTAAACTGTAATTTAATTACACGCAAATTAAATGAGAAACAAATGTATGGTCAGATAAAAAATAAAGAAATTTATGCATTTCCAAAATCTTTTCATTTCTCATTATGGTTTTGAATACCTATGTCGCAGGCAATTATCAATAGTCGGCAATTTGCAAGCCACTGGTGAATGAACATAGAAAAGCATCATCTTCAAAAATAAAAGAACAAGATTGGAGTGCTGATTATGTTGCCTGTAATGTGAATAGACACATTTCCCTCCGTAAGAACACGATAAAAAAAGGCACAGTGAACTCCGTGACATTAGTTGGGTTTTGATCGGGCACGCAACTAAAAAAGCTTCATGGCAATGCGTGGAGTATCACAAAAAATGAAGGCGCTCCAAGCCGAGCTCGTGCTTATGAAGGACAAAACCCTTAAAAACTCCATCATGCCGATGCGCGTTATAGCGAGTTATCGAAATAGCATGTGAACCGCTTGCAAATCGCCTGTGACAAATATAAAACTTTCGAAAGTTTCGATACCGCAAGTTCACTGAAAAAAATTCTCGGCGTTTTTACCAAGGTCCCTTGGTACCTTTACCATCTCACTCTTTTTACCAATTATTGGTTATTTTACCAAGACAGACCGGTAAGCTTACCTAAAAACCGGTATTTTTACTGTTTTTTTAGGTATGAATACCACTTTTATTGGTAATCAATTACCGGTAACTTTGACATTTTATCTCGGTAATTCTACCACAGTCGATAAAAAATATTGGCGTTCTTACCAAGGTCCAGTAAAATTACCGAGAAAGTTCAATAATTTTACCGAGATTTCTCGGTAATATAACCTACCAATTCCATAAACGGTAATTTTACCAAGAAAAAACTAGGATCAAATAGAGCCCTGAATTCTTGGTAATTTTACCCTCTTCTTAGTAAATACACCGAACTTTTTTTTTGAGTGTTCTCGCCGCAATTTTTCCTGTTATTCCGATACAGAGGCGTAATTCTTGTTGCAAAATGTACCGTGCACTTGCATTCCTCACTGAATTCCATGAGTTTCTTCCCATTTGTTGAACTTTCCACTCTCGTGGCATGGCGTGGGCTGAAAAAGAAATGAAGGCACCTTTACCATCGCTGAAAAGTGCGATCGGGCAACTTTCTTATCTCACTCGCCGCGTGGCGGAGTTTTAATCTAAGGGTATTAATATGTTGTTTGACATAAATGCGCCTAATTGTGTAATTATTCATTCCATCCTAATTGCCCTGCCAAGCC